CTATTACTGTACGGTTGGGCACAGCAGTGCTTCTCACAGCATCACAGGCAGATGGGAAAGTGGGACAAAAAATGCCTGTTTCCTTAGTTTATGTTAAAATCTATCCACGCTACTATTATTTAAACAAATTGGAATGTTTTCTAGGTTTTTTGCCAAATACTTACGAAGATTCAAACCAAAGAACAGCCCAAATAATTGATCAACCAGCACAGTTACATCACAGACATAACTTTAAATGAATTAGTTCTGCGACATTATGCATTAATCACGGTGGAAATGTTTATTGACTTTCATTCTCTTGATATGATGCATCGCGTCATGTCTCTAGATTTGTGCATGTTGAGTCCTCTTGCATCCCTTGGGTGAATCCCACTTGATCATGACGAGTGATCCTTTTAACATCATTTTGAATTTTGTTTGCTAGTGTAGTATTAAGGATTTTTGCTCCTATAACCATCAGATACATGTTCCTGTAGTTTGTTATTGTTGTTTTGGCTGAGTCTGTGTATAGTTTTCTCATCAGGGTAATAGTAGCCTGAAGAATGCATTCAGAAGTATTCTCTTCTCCTCTATTTGTGGGATTAGTTTGAGTAGGACTGGTATTAGTTCTTCTTTAAGTGTTTCATGGAATTAAACAGTGAATTCATCAGTTCCTGGACTTTTCTTTGATTGGAGAGTGTTTTATTGCTGCTCCTATCTCATTACTTGTTATGGTCTATTCAACTTTTGGATTTCCTCATGGTTTTATCTAGGTAGGTTGCATCTGTCTATGATTTATCCGTTTCTTTTAGGTTTTTCAATTAATTGGAAGACAGTTGTTCATAACAGTCTCTAATGATCATTTGAATTTCCACGGTATCTGTTGTCTCATGAAAAATGCCTCATTTTTCATCTTTTATTTGGGTCTTCTCTCTTTTTTATGAGTAGTCTGGTGAAATTTTCTCATTTTGTTTATCTTTTAAAAAAACCAATTTTTCACTGGATTGATCTTTTGTTTTGATTTAGTCACAATTTTATCTATTTCTCCTATGATCATTATTATTTCTTTTTTCTACTAATTTTGGGTTTGATTTTCTCTTGCTTTTCTAGTTCTTTATGATGCATCTTTGGTGTGTTTCCATATTCATCTGTTTCATTTTGAAACATTTCCTTCCTCATTCTCTGTTGACACGTGGTTGCTCAGGAGCATGCTGTTCAATTTCCATGCATTTGTATAGTTTCCAAAGTTCCCCTTGTCACTGATTTCTAGTTTTATTACATTGTGGTCACAAAAGATACTTGATATAATTTCAATTATTAAAAACTTTTGAGACTTGCTTTGTGTCCTAACATCTGGTCTATCTTTGAGAATGTTTTATGTGCTGAGAAGAAGAAGGTACATTCTGTACCTGTTGGATAACATTTTTCATAAATGTCTATTGAATCCAATTGGGGTACAGTACAGATTAACTTTGGTGTTTCTTTGTTGATTTTCTGTCTATGTGATCTGCCTGGTGCTAAAAGTGGGGTGTTGAAGTCCCCATCTATTATTGTATTGGGGTGTATCCCTCTAGATCTAATAATATTTGCATTATACATCTGGGTGCTCCAGTGGGAGGTGAATATATGTTTATAATTATCATCTTCCTGAATTGAGATCTTTGATATTATACAATGACTTTCTTTGTCTCTTTTTATACTTTCTGTCTTGAAATCTAATTCATCTGGTATAAATATGTTATAGATAGTCTTGCTTTCTTTTTTCCTTGTGTATAGAATATTTCTTTCAATGTCTTTATTTTAAGTCTATGTGTTTCTTTATAGGTGAAGTGAGTTCTTTGTGGGGAGCATAAAGTTGAGTTTTGATACTTTATTTAGTCACTCTGTTTTTTGATTGAATAATTTAATCCATTTACATTCAATGTTGTTATTGATACATAGAAACTTACCTCTGCCATTTCATTATTTCTGTTCTGTCGTGAGTGTGTAAGTGTGTGCGTGTGTGTGTGTGTGTGTGTGTGTGTATCATTCTGTGAAACAGAACCATTGCAGATGGAATAGTTAAGAGGGGGTTATTCCAGAGTGGCTTCGCCTCTTCATCAAATATGTCTGGTGTCCTTGTAAGAAGATGGCCATGAGAAGACAGATCAACATGGGAGCAATTAATGCGAAGAGGTGGGCATGGGTAGAACTGATTCAGCTGCAAGGCAAGGAATACCAAGATTGTCAGCGAACAACCAGTAGCCAGGAAAAGGAAAGGAAACATTTCTCTACAGGTTTCAGAGGAAACACGTCCTGGCTCCAGAGATTTTGGAGTCTCAGGAACTGTAGGAACATACCCTTTTCTTGTGTTAAACGACCCAGTCTGTGGTTCATTGTGATTACAGTCTTAGGAAACTGATACACCAAACAATTAATTTAATAGCATTTCTCAATTCAAATACATTCCTTTCATCTGGGCTCTCAACATATCCATAAGTATAATCATATTTTCCCCACATTTCTGAATTTTATGACTGTGAGTATCTTTGAAGGTTAATATGTAAAACTAACTTATAATACATAAATATACTGCTTAATATTAATAAGATCATAAGTACTAAAGCAAACCTGTACTTTTCACATAATTTTACTTATTTGTTTGTATCAAGAAGTGAAAATGCTTATGCTGATTTTTGCGAAATTTGTGAGATCCAGGGGGAGATGCCGTCATTGTCAGTGGGAAACCCAGCGTGTGTTGTGCCTGGTGTGTTATGCCACAAACAGGACATAGTGAGTTTGCTGGGCACACGGGTAGGGGGCAGAATACACTGAGACATGGGGAACAACCTATCACTAAAACCCACCAGAGCCTCTGTGCCTGTGTCAGGGTTTCTCAGACTTTAACACGCACGTGGGTCGTCTGCATCCTGGGCAATGTGGGTTCTGATTCTGTGGGTCTAGAGAGATGCTGAACCTCTGCGTTCCTAAAAAGGTTCCTCCTGTCAGTGTTCACAGACATGTTTTAATATCGCCACACTCATAAGAATGGTGAAAAACAAGAGAAGGCGTTACTACACAGACACTGAACGGGTGAATGACTGAGCCAAAGGACGCATGTCGCACACAGGTCGTGTGGCAGCAACATGGCTGGTTTATCCACCCGGATGCGGGCGGGCTGAGTTGAAAAGAGAGTTGGCACAGAAGGGGGTTTAGTGGGGGTTTTTATAACCCAGGATAGCTGACCCCCTCCCTCCTGCCCTGTTCAGTTCTTTGTTTCTGGACCAAACTGGCGGGTGAAGAATTGCTTCCTGCTGCGTGCAGCAGAGGACGGTGGGCAGAACAGCTGCTTGTAGTAAATTCGTCTTCTAATGACCAACTCCTATGACCCCTTTGCCCCAGTCGCATCCGTCCTTCTGCTCTGGCCTCGTCCTTATCAGGAGAGCTGGGGAGGGACAGCCTTGGTCTCCATCAGGGAGGGAGGGGAAGGAGTGCTGGCCGCAGCCCTCTGCCAGATCTACAAAGTCCAGGGACTCCCCAGACTCTTGCGGCTTGTTTTACAAGACTGAGTTTTGCATTAACCACATTCTGTCCTGTACATACTTTTCGGGATCCCGCCTGGAATAAACCTAACAGAAATCTCTCAAAGAGAGATGTCTCCCAGAGAGAACTAAAGAGATCTTGATTACAGAATATCCGCCCAGTCCATGCAGGGGGATGGCAAGAGAGGAGAGCTGAGAGCTGGGAGAAGATCCACCTTCTTAAGAAACACAGCAGAAATGAAACCAAACATACCCCAAACCTCACCCTGACCTGCCCTGCCCTCTGGCTCCTGCCCAGTGTCCCCACTGGCTTATCCTCCAGTCCCTTCCCCATGTGGACCATCCTCACCCTCCCCTCCCCATCTCTGATTCACAGATTCCCTTTTGAATTCTCGTGTTTTCCTCTCTTTTTTATCCCTTCTTTCCCCTTTTAACCACCTCAGTTTATCACTGTCTTTATGTCAGAAAAGCATGGGGCTTTTTTGCTTTTCAGATCTAGGAAATTGTCCCTTGCATGCCCACTTCTTTCTTGACCATCCCTAATCCCTTCAGAAGAATCCCCAAGTGTGCTGATTCTCTAGTAATTTATTTTTCACTCTGTACATTTCTCCTTGTTTAGTAGAGGATCCTGTGAACCACAGCGCAGGCCAGTGTATTCTCCGCAGCACCCGCCGCTCTTCACCCCCCGCTGGTCCATGGCACAGTCAGGCAGGGAGAGGAAACCTGCCATGAGCAGCCTGGAGAGCAGGCTGACGGCTGAACCGTCCCTGTTCTCACCTAGTGCACATTTCATTTCACGTGCCAGCCGTGGGTGAGACACCCCTTCCTCTGAAGACATGCTAAAGGCAAGTGAATCGTGTGTCCTGTTCCCCCTGAAGAGTCTCAAATAGAAAACTAAAGACCAAGACAAGGTAGGAGGATGCCCTGAGGAGGGGCCTGGCTCTGCCCTTGGGCAGGGAGTGGGCAGTGGTCAAGGCCCTGGTGGAGGCAGAAGCCTCTGTCAGGAGGCTCCCCAGGCATCTGCTCACAGACATGACGGACCCCAGCCTGGGCCCCAGTGTGCGCTGTGGACCTGGTGCTGAGTGCTCTCTGGGCCTCTCACCTGAGAAACCAGACACTTGACCCTGGTCTCTGCTCAGGACTCAGTGGATCATCTCCAGCTTCATGGGAAACATTAAGCCAGGCCCAGCACACACCCAGCTCTCCAAGAATGATGCTCAAACATTGTGGCTGCACACAGGCCAGGGCGGGTTTGGAGGCCAGGGGAGGAGCAGCACATTTGCATGCGGGGCCCCTCTCCCTCCTCTGGACCTGGAGGGTGGATAAGGGACACCTGCAGCCTGTCAGCCTCAGCAGAGCTCTGGGGTGTCTGCACCATGGCCTGGGCCCCGCTCCTCCTCCTCACCCTCCTCCTGCACTGCACAGGTCAGGACGGCCCCCAGCATCCTGACCCCCAGCTCACTGACACCACCTCCCAACCCACGCCACACTGTCCTTCCCTCTTGTCCTTCCTCCAGGACATAATGCGTGTCTGTGTTTCCAGGGTCCCTGTCCCAGCCTGTGCTGACTCAGCCGCCCTCTGCATCTGCCTCCCTGGGAGCCTCGGCCAAGCTCACCTGCACCCTGAGCAGTGCACACAGCGGCTACACCATTGCGTGGTATCAGCAGCAGCCAGGGAAGGCCCCTCAGTACTTGATGTATGTTAAGAGCGATGGAAGGCACAGCAAGGGGGACGGGATCCCCGATCACTTCTCGGGCTCCAGCTCCGGGGCTGACCGCTACTTGACCATCTCCAACATCCAGCCTGAGGACGAGGCTGACTATATCTGTGGTGCAGATTATAGCACTAGTGGTTCATATGGTTAAACACAGTGATCCAGATGAGTGGGGAAGTGGAACAAAAACTGTTTGCTCTACTCTGCCACCAAGGCTGCCACCTGGCTCCCAGAAACAGTGTCTGGTGGTCTGAACCCTCAAAAATATTGACTTTTTTCATTAGAAATTTCACAATGAGAAAACTAGATGCATTCTGACTCCTGTCAAGAGTTCTCTGGGAACCAGGCTGCTAGGCCAGGCTCCTATAGAGTGAATGGATCTGTAGCAATGATGGAACTGTAGCAACTGATCCTGTCACCCCGTGCTGGTTGCTACATTGTCACTACGTGGGGATGCAGGGACATTTTCCTTTCCAGATTCAAACACTGAGACTCCGCTACATACTTCACTCCTTCCTCTTGGAGGATTATTTAAATTACCACCTTTAAAAATAATTTTATATACTTCTAAGAAATTTCGAGATTCTATCTATATGGTAGGAAGCACATTCTGAATAATGCAGAGAGAGAGGATACATATTTGTGGGGGGCGTGAGAACAAACCTCAAGTCCTTTGGCTGTTTCCAAAGGTTTTCTTAAATGTTCAGTGTTTGGATTCTGGGGCTAAGGGACAAGGTTGAGAAACTGATCCCAGTGTACAGAAGATGACAACTGATATGCAATAATGGATGCGGGAGCCTTATGACAGCGTGGAGCAGGACGGTCACGAACCTGGCCGCAGCACTCTGTTGAGGGCTGGATTCTCCTTGTTGCCGGAGTCCAGGAGGAGGCCACTGAAGAAGACGTCTATGACAAATTCGCAGAATATGGGGAAATAAAAAACATCCACCTCAATCTGGACAGGAGAACTGGATTCCTGAAGGGCTATGCTCTGCTGGAGTACAGAGCGTACCAGGAGGCCAGGCTGCTATGGAGGGACTCGGTGGACAGCATTTGATGGGACAGCCCATCCGTGTTGACTGGTGTGTTGTTCGGGGTCCACCCCAGGGCAAGAGGAGAGGTGGCCGAGACGCAGCAGGAGTCCAGACCCGAGACGTTGCTGACAGGCTGGGGCTTTTTTTCTTTTCAGATCTAGGAAATTGTCCCTTGCATGCCCACTTCTTTCTTGACCATCCCTAATCCCTTCAGAAGAATCCCCAAGTGTGCTGATTCTCTAGTAATTTATTTTTCACTCTTTACATTTCTCCTTGTTTAGTAGAGGATCCTGTGAACCACAGCGCAGGCCAGTGTATTCTCCGCAGCACCCGCCGCTCTTCACCCCCCGCTGGTCCATGGCACAGTCAGGCAGGGAGAGGAAACCTGCCATGAGCAGCCTGGAGAGCAGGCTCACGGCTGAACCGTCCCTGTTCTCACCTAGTGCACATTTCATTTCATGTGCCAGTCGTGGGTGAGACACCCCTTCCTCTGAAGACATGCTGAAGGCAAGTGAATTGTGTGTCCTGTTCCCCCTGAAGAGTCTCAAATAGAAAGCTAAAGACCAAGACAAGGTAGGAGGATGCCCTGAGGAGGGGCCTGGCTCTGCCCTTGGGGAGGGAGTGGACAGTGGTCAAGGCCCTGGTGGAGGCAGAAGCCTCTGTCAGGACCCCCAGGCGTCTGCTCACAGACATGACGGACCCCAGCCTAGGCCCCAGTGTGTGCTGTGGACCTGGTGCTGAGTGCTCTCTGGGCCTCTCACCTGAGAAACCAGACACTTGACCCTGGTCTCTGCTCAGGACTCAGTGGATCATCTCCAGCTTCATGGGGAACATTAAACCAGGCCCAGCACACACCCAGCTCTCCAAGAATGATGCTCAAACATTGTGGCTGCACACAGGCCAGGGCGGGTTTGGAGGGCCAGGGGAGGAGCAGCACATTTGCATGCGGGGCCCCTCTCCCTCCTCTGGGCCTGGAGGGTGGATAAGGGACACCTGCAGCCTGTCAGCCTCAGCAGAGCTCTGGGGTGTCTGCACCATGGCCTGGGCCCCGCTCCTCCTCCTCACCCTCCTCCTGCACTGCACAGGTCAGGACGGCCCCCAGCATCCTGACCCCCAGCTCACTGACACCACCTCCCAACCCACGCCACACTGTCCTTCCCTCTTGTCCTTCCTCCAGGACATAATGCGTGTCTGTGTTTCCAGGGTCCCTGTCCCAGCCTGTGCTGACTCAGCCGCCCTCTGCATCTGCCTCCCTGGGAGCCTCGGCCAAGCTCACCTGCACCCTGAGCAGTGCACACAGCGGCTACACCATTGCGTGGTATCAGCAGCAGCCAGGGAAGGCCCCTCAGTACTTGATGTATGTTAAGAGCGATGGAAGGCACAGCAAGGGGGACGGGATCCCCGATCACTTCTCGGGCTCCAGCTCCGGGGCTGACCGCTACTTGACCATCTCCAACATCCAGCCTGAGGACGAGGCTGACTATATCTGTGGTGCAGATTATAGCACTAGTG